TGATAAAAAGATAAGGTTCGTGCTTTAGCCTCTTTACTCCAGCGATTCAAAATATAGGTAGGTGGAATTCTTCTAACATCCTTCTTGGCCAACACTTTTAACGCATGACGACATAAGATTCCAGCAAAAGAAAACTTCATACAACTACAATTTATCGTTTCGTTTGCAGCAACATAGTTAACCAAATGATTTCTTCCAACCCCACGAAAAGATACATTGTACTCAGCACTTACCGTCTCAGACTTATTGACCCTTTTGGCAACATAATCACCGATAGCTGTGTATTCCTTCTGAAACAAGGTAAACACTTCTGGTGTATACACGTCCACTGCATGTTGCAACATTTCTACAGGAGCCGATAATACTGGTGAGGTATGCATCATACTGAAGTCAGCAGTTAATTCTTTAAATCGTCGATCATCCAACACTCTCTCATAGTGTGTAAAGAAGCGCAACAAGTTGTAACTGGACTTCAAGTATTTTTTCAAAATATTATTCATACTTTCACTACGCTGTGTGCTCATCATATCAGCTGTAAAATTTTGACGACCATACACTCTTGCCCATTTTCTCTCAACTCAAACAAATCCTTCAGCCATTTATTCTCTATCAATCCATGCTTCTCGAGCATTTCACTCCATGCTGATAACCACTCTACTTCATTCTCATGGTCATATACACATTTTCCAAAGTCTGTGGCAAACTTTTCTGGTCCATGAAATACACGCCCCAACCTCTTTGCAGCATTTTGGTAAATATTCCAAACACATAACCTATGTTTTGTTTCAGGTAACACTTTCCCTATTGCATTTGCCATTGCTGCACATTGGTCTGTAAGAATTGTTTGTGGTTGTTTTCCAGACATTGCTCCAAGAAAAGTCTGAAAAAGCCACTCAAAAGACTCTATGGTTTCATCATATAAGAGAGCAGCGCCAAACACAATAGTTTGCTTATGATGATTGACCCCAACAAATGGAGAAAACGGTCTATCATACTCATTGGTCTTGTAAGTTGTGTCAAAGCAAACAATATCTCCAAAAAGACTATAATCACTAATTGACCGATCATCTGCCCAGAAGATATTAGTAATCATATCGTCCTCATCAAGTTGCAATGAGTAAAAAAAGATGCATTATCCTCTTTTTTTTTTTAAAGTACTCCAGAACCGCTCCAGCATCTCCCTTTTTCATTGCTGCCATTCGCTTACGGTATATGTAATTGCGCAAGTCTTTATCCATAAAACCCAGATTTGCTTGCGCCCCAACTTCTCTGCTCATCATTTCAATTGTTGCCTTGGCTGAAATTTCTGACATATCAGCATCATCAACATGTTGTTTTTGAGAGATAGACATTGCTCGGTTACTCTTCAGAAAATGCTTCATAGGTGTCCTCACTAAATCATGGTTATGATTCGGCTCAAAAGTCACAATCTTATATCTTCCGTTACTCTAAACGTAGGAAGACATGCGAGCTTTACAACCACACCTTGTGGTTGGTCGTGAATATGATTGATTGACCTTAGGTTCTTGTCTAAACCCCTCGTTTGCGCATACATAACCATCCTTACTAGTTTATTGTTTTTTTTCTCGAAGTCCGTTGTTTCCTTACGTTGAAACCATGACTGCCCCCATACTCTTTATAAGCTTTATATGCAGACTCATCAGAACTAAACTCCATTTCCTTACAGATTTCAAATTTCTTTTGATTTTCATTGTTTGCTTCTAAAGAATCAACATCTTCAATCTGAAGAAAATCCTCTTTGTTTTCTATGTCTTTTTCTTCATCGAAATCGCTAACTGAAGCATCTTCATCGCTAACTGAAGCATCTTCATCATTGAGTGTAGTTTTTTTTTCCTCAGCCAAAAACTCATCAGAATTATGACTTAACAATCTGATTTCACTTGAGACTTGTAAACTCGATTCATCTTGACTAGCAGAAATAATTTCTTGATCACTTAAATGGTTATTCTCCATTGCACCTATATAGAAAAATATAAATACCAGTCAAAAATTACTTTAGAAAACATAAAGTAATTAGACCTAATTTTAATAGAGATTCTATGTAATTGATATTCTCAATTTAAAAGAGGATTAAACAAATAACGCCACATACCTTTAATGAGGAATTGATGGTGTCTCTGTGGGTGAAGGGAACTCACGAGGAATAAGAAAGAAGTCGACGGCGTGAAGGTAAGGATATTCCTTTTTTATATTTTTTAGCTATTTTCCTTTTTTTTTGTAATTTTAATATGATTTTCAGTTAATCTTATGTGGCAAATTGATTGGTGTAAAAGATTGAAGTGAATTATAGAATTCACTACTGGGGTGAAGGCAAGTTTTGTTCAAATAAAATTTACCTGTATATTTATTACTAGGTGTTTTGCCCGCACATGCGGATTTAATTTCCGTTCAATTTATTATTAGTTTATATTTTATTTATTCAAACCAATATAATAAGTTATGATTTATGTTTTAAAACTAATTATAAATGACAACACTCACATAACAAAATATTGTTAAAAATATATTTTTACAAATGTGTTGCTTTAATTTATTTTAATTATAATCTTTGCTATCTTAATTTTTTATTTCTATAATAAAAATATATTTTCAAGATAACAATATAATACGTAAGAAGTATCTTACTTTCTAAAAATATAATTTTTAATAGAAATTCTTTTTTATTTTATAATAAATTTTATATGAAATTATTAAAAATATGACAAATAATCAAAATTATCTAAATAATGGAGAAATTAAAAATTAGATAATTCACTTAAATATTTTTAATAGAAAATATATGTTCAAGATAACAATCCAATACATAAGAATTATCTTATTTTTTTAAATCTAGTATTATTAGTATACGTTTGTTTTATTATTTAATAAATTATATAGGAAATTATTAAAATATGATAAATAAGCAAAATATAAAACCATGGAGAAGTTGATAAATCAACATTGCTTTCTTTATATTTAACTATTAATATTTGAAGTTAATTTTTAATTTCTATGATAAAAATATATTTTAAAGATAACAATATAATACATAAGAATTATCTTATTTTCTAAAATTATAATATTATTAATAGAAATTCGTTTTATTATATGATAAATTATTCCTAAAATTATTAAAAATATAACAAATAAGCAAAATTACAAACATCATAGAGAAGTTACAAATCAATCAGTAAATCACTTAAATTTTATAATAGAAAAAATATATTTTTAAAATAACAATTTAATACAAAATAATTAACATATTTTCTAAAATATAATATTAGTAATATAAATTCGTTTTTATTAAATAATAAACTGTATATGAAATTATTTAAATAAGGTAACTCTATATAATATTATTAGTATAAATTTGTTTTTATTAAATAATAAATTGAATATGAAATTATTTAAATAATAGTATAGATAAACAAATTTTCCTAAAATCAAGAAGAAGTTGACAACTAAGCAAATTTATTTCTTATATAATGGTATAGATTTCAAAATTATAAGTTTCTTGTGCTTAGCTATAAAATGATAACACATGAATCTTAATTCTAACTGAATGTAATAGTTTCTGTTGGGAGCTTTTAAAAATATTTCCCTCCCATCCTGATATCATTCTTGGGAATTTCTTTGTATTTGAAAATATTTATGTTCTTCCATTTTATCCAAAAAATATGTTAGTCCTTTTTACGTTTACAACTGATTATAAATATCTAATGAATATTTAAAAGTTCAGGATCGTATTACACTAAAAGCTCTTATTTTCGGTGGACTGTAATATGATACTCCCTAATATACAATCTATGCATAAATGCATTCGTTGAATTTACAGAGAGTGGAAAAATTTATGAGGAAGCTGACCAAAAAAGTCCAAAAAATAAATGAGGAATCGAAGGTCGTGGCATGGTAGGCCGTTGAAGAAGGTTTCAATGTATTTGAAATTGTTTGGAATTTACTATATATATTTTCAAAATGATAAGAAATACTAATAGTACTAAATAACTAGATGTGTATTTTTGGTATTATATTGAAAAGTGGGATTGAGAGTTATTGTAGTATTTAAGTTGCATCGGCATTCATGAAGTCATGAACCTTCCCCCTTCAACTGTATTTAGGTTCTTTCTATTTAATATTTATTGACCTCTTAAATCACACAACTCTTACCATTATATCACACGCACATAGACATACATGTACACAACTTTATGTCTATCAAAAATACATACAACTGGTATACCCATGCATCATCGTACGTCCAGATAATGGTTTGATGATATCATCATGATGGTAAATATTGGTGGAACAGAAAAGCTAAAGAAAAAAAGGAACAGGTAGAGGAATTCAATAGAACTACACATCTACACACTTCAACAAGGCTCCCTGAAGCAATACAACCACTTATTTAACACACACCAACTTGGAACTCACACATCATCTTCCATAGTTTTATTTTTGCATCTTATGGTATCCTTTCTTAATTATAATTCAAAATAATCTACAACAAAACACTTTAGAGCTCAATATTCTTTTTCAGATGTATAATTGACAAATCTTGACTGCACCAGAATCAGGACTGCACAGAACAAAGGTATATATACACTGGTTAAGATATTTATTTAGCATCTTTAGATAGTATCAGCAGTTTTTTTTTTTTTTTTTTTTTTGTAAAAAGGGTGATAGATATCAGCAGTTCAGCTTCAGCACTACCATGGGTCATTTGTGTGAAGTAAATCTTTCTTGAATAACATATGTAATATTGTACTATGCAACACCCAAACCAAATCCTAATTTATTTGATTATCTACGATATTTATTTTGGTATATCTAACTCATTTATTCTTGTCTACCATTCTACATAAACCGGTGAAGATAATAACTCCCATGGGTGGTTCATCTTATATTTATAAATACGACTTTCAAGAACTGTTTCTCTATACACCAAAGCAAAGTGAGAACTTCCTAATCATCACAACACTTTCGAAGGTCTAATGTTTTCTCTACATGATGGGACCCTATTTTCTAAAAAGAGAGACAAGATGAAAGACCATGGAGAATCGTTTCACGGTTCCTTCAAACGGATCAAACAAGAAGATCAAACGCAAAGCAAACTTGAGAAGAACGTTACTCTTTTCGATCAAAGACTAAAGTCAGAGAACGTCAAGTTGATTAAACCTGATGTTCAGCTTCACCTTGATACTAAGGTATATAGTATATATGAAATAAAAAATTGAAGATACTATGCACAAAAATATGAGTCAAAACATGTTTAAATTCTCTTTTGTAGGCCCATTCTGAGACAAATGACGATCGTCAGACATACCTGGACCTTGAGCTAAACCTTTCTTCGTCGTCAAGTTCCACTATTAAAACAATTATGAAGAAAGACGAATCATCAAAAGGCAAATCTGTAATCACGAGCCCAAGTAAAAAGAGGAAATCAAGTGATGGAGGGCTAAGTCAATCCCCGTCTTGGCTAGCGTTTGAAGGTGATGATGATGAGAAGAAACAAGAGATGGTAACAACGGTGTGCATGAAGTGCCACATGCTGGTTATGCTCTGCAAATCAAGTCTTGTGTGTCCCAACTGCAGATTCACGCACCCTAGGGATCACAGCTCCACAAAAAACTTTTAAGAGTTTGTTTAAGTTTCTTTTTTTTTTGTTAGGCTTTGCCCTTTTAAGGTATGTATGATGATGATTCGAATTAATGTATGTAAATACAAGTAATGATAATTAATATTCTATGCTTATGTATGAACTGCTTTAGCATAAATGTTTGGAGTCGAGCAAGAGAGAAGGAAGGCCACTGATATGAGATTAGCACTCCTGCGTCCATTACTTACACAAATATTATGGGCAAATGATAGTTACGCAGTAGATATTTTGCCTTAACCCATCGTTTGATTGAAGTGCCTTTAACTTTATGATTACTTACACAAAATTTTGTGAAGTATATGATTCAGAGTGAACCAGTGGGATTGATTTTGGTATTTGAGAATCAATCTAATTGAACAGAGTTTCAGCAAAATTGATCTGAAAAAAAAAACTTGTTGAAAAGGTTACCATGAAATGTTCTTCATCCCACACTAGAATTGTCTCCCTAGAAAACAGAGGACAGACTCTAGAAAATTGTAATTCCTCTTCTCACTTTGACCATATATATAGATAGTAAATGAACTAACTTTTTTTCCTGGATCAAATTAGAATTAATGGATTCATTTGTTCCCAAACACAAACTAAATGAACAACTAGCCAGTGATCAATCTTGTCCGAATACAATTAAAAATTTCTCATATCTCTATTACTTTGTTATGATTCAGAATCCTCAAACGCATAACTGGATTAATTGGGATTTAAGAATGTTGTTTGAACTTCATATCTCACTTAAACAATTCTGACTAACAAAACACCTAAAAAAATCCATAAATCTTAGACGAAAACTTACAAAGGAAGTGAAAACCCTATTGAATTAAATAAATAAATTAGTTATTTATTCTAGCTTCTCTAGTAAGCCAAGTGTGTTTGGTTACTAAAATAAGAATGTTCTCTCTCTTTATAACTCATTTGTAACCGCATTTTTCATATCTAAGGAAAATTTTTTTCCTTCTTTACTCTTTTCTCTCATCTCTCTCTTGTTCTTCAATCTCAAAGCTTCACTTTTTTACATGGTATCAGAGCTTTAAACTCTTGTGTACCTATTTTGCTTCTGCGATTTAACTTTGATACTCTCTTTTATTTGATTTATCAATCTACTCCTCCTATTTTCTTTCCAGATCTATTATCTTTGTGGATAAGAAATCTATGTTCTTGAGTTGTAAAATTTCAGTGATTGTTTCCTTGGCTTCTTTGTGTAACCAGTGTGTAATAGTCTCTGAAGATGAATCAATTCATACAAGTCAAGATTCTTGTTGTTCTCAAGGGAGGAGAAAACTATATCACTTGGTCTAGATTGGCCAAAACAGCCCTTGGAGGAAGAGGTCTTTGGGAGCATATCACTTCAAGTTCTGCACCAAGGCAAATCACCCAAGGAGAAGATGGCAAGGAGATTGTAGTGGTAGATGAAAGCAAATGGGATCAGGAAGATCTCATGGTGCTGTCTATCTTGCAAAGCTCTCTTGATGGTCCTATCATGGATTCTTACTCACAATGTGAAACTCCAAAACAGTTGTGGGATACCTTGAAAAAGGTGTATGGCAATACTTCAAATCTGACCAGAATCTTTGAAGTTAAGAGAGCCATCAATAATTTGCAGCAAGAGGAGAGTGACTTCACCAAGCATCTTGGGAAGTATAGTCAGCTATGATCGGAATTGGAAATGCTAAGGCCAAACACTAATGATCCCAACACTCTTGAGGAGAGGCGTGAGCAAGACAAGGTCTTTGGTCTTCTTCTCACACTCAATTCAAACTTCAGTGATGTGGTTAAACACATATTGAGAGCTAAGGAGCTCCAAAGCTATGATGATGTTTGTGCACAACTTCAAAAGGAGATTGGTTCAGATGGTCTCTTTGGGAGAAAAGAAGAGCTGTCTATGGCAAACAAGGCTGAGAAGGTGGAAAGTGCAGCAGCTAATAAAGCTCATTTCAAACCAAGGGGAGGAGGAGACAAGCATGTGACGTGTGAGCATTGCAAGAAGTTGGGACACTCCAAAACCAACTGCTAGATCCTCCACCCGCACCTCAAACCAGCCAAGTTCAACCAGGCCAAAGCACATGAAGCAAGAGCTCATGAGTACACTGGTGGCTCCACCTCTCACGCTATGTTCTAGCCACCTCCTGATGATGCATTCATTCGCAAGTCAGACATTGAGGCCCTTATAAAGGCTCTTAATGCGAACTCCGGTAACATTAGTATTAATACTTTAAACTCTGTTCACAATGAATCTCACACTGCTAGACCTTTGATCATTGATTCAGGAGCTTCTCATCATATGATTAGGGATGCTAGACTGATTAATAATGTAACCCCAGCTCTAGGCAGTGTAGAAATTACAAATGGTGATAAAATACCCATAGAAGGAATAGGAAATCTGAAACTGTTTAATAAAGATTCTCAAGCTCTTTACATGCCCACTTTTACTTCAAACTTATTATCTGTTAAGAGAGCAACTAATGACCTGAATTGCAATGTTATTTTCAGTCCTAATGATGTTTGCTTTCAGGATATTAAGACCAGTAAGATGCTGGGAAAAGGTGTGAGCAAGGGAGAGCTATATTTGCTTGAAGACACCAAAGTTTCAGATTTATCTTGTGCTTTTAATTCTACTTCTGTTTTAGCTAGTGATGTGTTATGGCATGCTAGATTAGGTCATCCTCATT